ACTGTGCTGAAATCTTTCTGGTCATTATGCAAGTCAGCATGAAGCGTTCAAACTTCTTGAGACACAAACCGAACCTGTAATTTCTACAATAAGACCTGCTTTATGCTAAATGTGAGCATTGAAAGTTCCCAGTGAAAGACTGAATGACATTCTGAGAACATTGCTCTTTATCAGGCTGCAGACAAACAACAACAGATGCATGTAAAATGTTGTTTACCATTTGAATATATACATATATTTTTGTTTCCCTGTACTTACTTATTCTGATGCGATGGAAGTGTATGCAGGTGTTCCTTCCAACCAAAGACTGTTGAGACTGTGACTGAAAGCGTGTTTGTTAAATCACCTGATGAACTGTTTGGTTGGAAGGAAAACCCTGCACAGGCACAGCAGGACTGGACACTTCTGCCCTATAGCTGCTAAAGGAACTGTAAACACACATACATACATTCTGTCCCAGACTGCTCCCTGGACTCCACAGAGGAGGTGGGTGAGAGGAGGATGCTGGTCAAGCTCACATCCGTCATGGACAACCCCTCGCACCCGCTGCATGTGACTGTGGGGGCTTTAAGCAGCTCCTTCAGCAGCAGACTGAGGCATCCAGCCTGCAAGAAGGAGCTACCGCAGGTCATTCCAACTGCAAGAAGAACATCACTGGCTGATGTTAACCCAATGGACAAAACTAACACATGGTCATAATTCTGTTTTTTTGCACAGCAAATTTGCACAATTTGCACTGTTTCTTTTTCAGTGTAAATATTGTATATATATATATGTTTTCGTTTAATAGTAGATTTTTGCCAGCTTGTGTACATACTGATTTTGTTACTTAATTATTGTTACTTCCCTGTACTTTCTTTTCTATACTTTTCTATGCTGCCGTGTCGTGTGAATTTCACCTCAAAGTTCTTCCTCACTCTGTCTTACCCGGTTTCTCAATCAAAAAGATGACAAGCAAAGATGATGATGCTCCTTTTCGTCACTTCATACTTTTTTCAAGGCATGTTCAAATAAGGATATGGTCCCACAGTGAGGAGTGTAGTCGTGGTCTTCCTGTTCTCTATAAAAG